CCTTAAGCATACCTCCTAAAACTTGGAACCCCGCTGTTAGACCCTTAGCAACTTGAAGGCGAAGCCGGGCTTCCTAGCTAGTTTTCACTAAAATTGTCTGCAAAACTTCTATAACTTGCTCGATGGGATCATTCATGGTATGCAATTTGTGAGAGACGAAGATAAAAAGCAGCAGTTGTCCTGCCTTAATGCCTTCGTCAAGCGAAACTAAATGGTGAAAGTAAGACGATGGTTTACATGAAGGCAACAAACACCTCGCATCTTCTTAGTTTTCACAGCAACCATCCGGTGACTAACATATGAAGCTATATGAGGACGCACTTCAAGCGAATTCTGATCCGCCGCCAACTTATGCAGCTTGGCTATCCGGAGGCTTTTATACGCCCCGTAGGACCCAAGCAGAAAACCCTCCAAGGATATGGTAGGCTCATTCATTCATCAGAGACGTCTCAGAAGACTGAGCGCAGCGTTGCGGGACTAGGTTTTTGGAATTATCCAACCGGCAGAATGCTACAACACGTAGCAGGCTGATGAAAATTAAACACCCACTAGATCCTAGTGAGTGGTCAGGTGTAATTTATCGAATCCCATGCTCAAGCTGTTTTTGTAAGTAAACGGGTCAAACTGAACAGAAGCTCGGAACATGCCTACATGAACATAAGCTGGCTATGCGATGGAGCGACAAAGTATTGCAAGGGGCTGCCCACACCTATAAAACGAGCCATTAGGTTAACCTCACCGGAAGGCAAACGAACCAAGAATTGATGACGACCTGGTACTCGGATGGGAACTTATTCCATCGGTGTATCGATCTGGCACCGACATATAGCGCCCTGCGCAGTCATTTTCAGGCATGGTTCATATTGCACTTTGGTTTGAACCCGCTTTAAGTTAGCATGTTTCTGATAATGCTACTATCGCTGATGAGGGACTCCTGTACGAGTTCGAAACATCTGAAGCATAAACAAATTGTTCCGGTGCTCGACTAGCCTTCTTCATTACTTATACACCGTTCCGGTTTCGAGGATTCCTTAACGTTGCTCAGACGAGGTTGCTGCTTGCTTACGGCATTTCTGACAGAAATAAGTTGTTTTTTACTTACTGAAGCAGCGCAGCACTCACAATGTCGGAAAACGTTCTTCACAGCAGTAAAAACTTGCGGAATGACTTTAGGGCTGCTTAATTTCAACCGTGAGAGTCCTGAGAACATCCACTTCAAAATCTTGACCTTGAGAAATTACGGTTTGGCAACAAAAATCTCAAACGTTGACAGTTCACCTTCTCCGCTGACGAGGGGTGGGGCTAAAAGATAGATGAAGGAGTCGACATGCACAGTTACAAAGTAGCAATCTAAAGCAAAGGCAGCAGAATTTATTGGTGATAGATGCAGTTTACGACCTGATGCGGGATTGAATTGATTCAGCAAGTTCAGAGTTTGGAAAGCGCAGCCCAAACCATCAAAAGCGACCCATTTTTGGACAGAGGTCTTGGGTTCCATTCTGCTTCTGGTATACATGAAGCAGAAGATGCGGAACTCAATCCAAAGCTCGAAGGATGCGCAGAGCCTACAAAATGACTTGGAACGCTAACAAAAGTGGTGTGATAAGTGGCTACTGCACCTCAATCTCAACAAATGCCAAGTCATCCGCCTACGGTCTAGTTACAGAAATGAGATACCACTTGATTATGACTACTTGATCGGAGGTCACCAACTCAGGCAAGTGAATGAACTAAGGGATCTAGGTGTAGTTATGAAGCCCACCCTCAAACCTTCAACTCACTGTGCCGAAACTGCGAAGAAGGCTATGGGGCATCTTAGGAGCGATCAGAATGTCCTTCCTCTATTTTCATGCGAAGCTTTTCGGGTGAGTGTTTGGAACATTTACTCGGCCGATGTTAGAATATTGCGTCCAGGCGTGGTGCCCCTAGATGAAGCAAGATTACGCGGTACTGGAGAAAGTTCAAAGAAGGGCGACCAAATTGGTCCGTGGCTTAGGAGGTCTACCATATGAAGGTTGACCAGGAAGGCTCAAATGTTTTCCTCTCTATTAGAGGCAATACAGAGCAGATATAGTCATGCAGTTCAAACTCGTCAGAGGAGTAGACCGTGTTCTTCAGATGGTTGATTTCTTTGAATTGACAGAATCGACATATCCCCGAGGTCATCCATACAAACTGAAGAAACACCATGCCAAACTAAAATTGCGCGTCAAATTCTTCTCCAAGCGGGTCATGGAAAACTGGACCAAACTTCCTTCCTCAGTTGTTCTTGCTGAAAGCCTTGAAACATTTACGAGAGGACTCAATCATACTCTACTTGTTGGTCATACATTTGGTAGACAAGAACGATTTATATAATGTACATATATGCCTTTGAAACATATGCATGATTTGCCAGAAGCTACCTGTAAATAGGGTTTTCAAAGGCTCTGCCTATCTCCTTATAAATGCTTATTCATACTGAAAGGAAAATGGATTAAATGAGCAGGGTTAAGTTCGCTATATGGTTGAGTTGGTTCCACAGGTCAGGTCTCTCCAAGTAGCCGAGGGTTAGATTTGTCGGTTTAGATGCCATAAGTTTTCGAGGCTATTTTTGTGTTATGTTTTCATTATCCACGTTATGAAGCAACCGGATGAAGTCAAAAAGTCATCGCGAACTTAGTTTGTGTCAATTAAGCCTTCTTTCAAGGCCCATAATTTACCACCGGACACTGATAGACACTCTAGAATCTAGATTGGCAAGCGTCTTTTTGAACAGCGAGAAAGCTGTTTTGGATATTTTGAAAAATGGGCGGGAGCACGTTTGTTTGGAGGCATTCTGAGGATGCTTCCAGCTAACCTAGTGACCGAGCTCTCCGTTAACGAGCAAGGATCCGGAGGGAGCTGTTTTAATGTCTATAACCTAAACAAAACGTGGCGTGACATGAATGAGAAACTGCAATTTGCCGCCCTAAATGTTTTTGAGTGTGCACAACTCCGAAAGATGTAGTAGTCGGCCAAAATATGCGTGCCAAATTGCGATTATTGTAGGAAATCTATCGCACGCTTGTCGTACATCCGGTGCCAGAGCGGTTGGCGAACACCAGCAGTCGTTTTCGGAGCGAAATTGACCGATTATATCTAATAAGCTAGAAAAAAACGTTCCAGTGTGCTTTTACGTCATCAGTGATACTTTTTGAACGGACCATTGTCTGTTCCCCAATGACTGGGTTAAATAATTTAATGTGAACCTATAACGACACCCAGTATCTGTATTCTGAGGGTCTGTTCCTATTCCCTGCATGTCTACACTGTAATTTGACTTATTTTTACCCTAAAAAGATCTCTGGACTTACCCACTTTTAGTCGTCTACTTCACTTTGCTGCAACTATTTGTTGCTGGAAACTACCATTTTGTTTGCGGCAAAATCAGTGCTTCCCTTGGCTCCTAATCCTTCTTGGAAGGAACCTTTCTCAGAGAGGTAGTATTGTCCGTAGTTTCCAAGTACAGTAGTCGCCGGTTACTAAGCCCACGGTTAATAGGCCCAGCCGCGTATT